GGTCATTCTGTTCAGTTGATTTGCATATTAGGGTTTTACTATATAGGATTTTAAAAGATACTCATATTTGCATAAAAAGTCCTATGATTCTAATGTCATCATTCTTTTCATTACACTGTAATGCCTCTAACTCATATTTGGTCTATTACTGTAAATTCTTAGGGGTTTCTTTGCCTCTTCTCTGGTTTATATTGCATATCACTATCAGACTAAACACAGCTTTGATTAAAAGATATCACAGTAAAGAAATTTCCAGTGGTTTCCAATTGTATAGAGAATAAAAATCAAAACTTCATCTTTGCTTTGGCCCATTATATATACCTTGAGATAATGCCATTGATGTGAGAGAGACACATCCATTGGTTGCCCCCTGCACACACTCCAACTGGGGCTGCGATTGAACCTGCATCCCATGTAGATGCCGTTGATTGGGAATCAAATCCAAGACTCTTTACTGTGCAGGCCAGTGCTCTAACCACTGAGCAACACCAGCCAGCGCAATGCTTGTTTTAACAGTATTTCCCTTATTTGAGTTACAAATGCTTAAGAGTTACTGCAGGGAACCTGGACATTTATTATATATTATATATAAATAATATGTATGTAACATATGTAAATGCATTATATTTATTACATACTTACAGTTTATAGAATAAACTATATTCTATAAACTGTGTGTTTTGATGGAGAGGAGGCAAGAACCATCTAGTAAAATTCCTGACATTGAAAATGAATCCTCATTCTGCTGAGGTAGCTCAGTTGATTGTCATCCTATGTACCCAAATTTTGCAGGTTAGATTCCTGGGCAGGGCACATACCTGGGTTGCTGGTTTGATCCCTGGTCAGGGTGAGGAGAGGCAACTGATTGATGTTTCTCATATCAATGTTTCTCTCTCTCCCTCTGCCTCTCTAAAATCAATAAAAACATGTCCTTGGGTGAGGATTAAAAATCCTAATATATAAAAAGATAGGGGTCGTCACAACCAAAATGACTGGACAACTGAACAGCAGGTGGACCGGGGGTGGGGTGGGGGGGGGGATCTGCAGTGGGGACAGGGCTGTGGCAGAGTCCTCTCCGCATGCCTGTGCTGGGGGTCTGGTTCAAGTCCTGAATTGTGAGAGGGTGAGTGAGAATGACATAGGCTAAGGGACCAGCAGGGGTTAGTGGGGGTGGAGTAGATCTTGGATGAGCAGGGAGGTGAGACTGAGCAGAGGGCAAAGCCCTGGCCAGGAGGGTAAGGCAGCCGCCTCTCCATGCACCTGCGCCAGGGGTGGTTCAAGTCCCAGATTGTGAGAGGATGAATGAGAATGACATAGGCTAAGGCAGTGGTCGGCAAACTCATTAGTCAAAGAGCCAAATATCAACAGTACAATGGAAATTACTTATGAGAGCAGAATTTTTTAAACTTCTTTTAACGTCACTTCTTCAAAATAGACTCACCCAAGGATGTGGTATTTTGTGGAAGAGCCACATTCAAGGGACCAAAGAGCCGCATGTGGCTTGAGAGCCGCAGTTTGCTGACCATGGGCTAAGGGGGTTAGTGGGGTGGAGGCGATCTTGGATGAGCAGGGAGCTGAAGCTGAGCAGAGGGGGATGAGGCCTGTGGTCTGGATAAGGCAGCCATAGGAGTGATTAGTCCAGAGTATGGCACAGGACTTTGGCGTTGTAGAAAGGATAACTTCAGCCACCGAAGATCAAACTGTACACCCCAAATGCTTTTTCTTGCATGGTCCAGGTGGTAGTGGAAAAGCATATCTTTATAAGGTCTTAGTACATTAGAGGTCGTGGTGGTACAGGATTTGCTGCAGATTTACTTCTCAGCGGAAGAACCTTTCATTCCCAATATAATTTACCAATTCTATTAAATGAAACTTTAATTTCTTGGAGATATAAAGAGTGAAGTTTCTAAAACCATTAAAAAGGCCCAACTTCTCATTGATGAGTTCACCATGGCATTCTATATTCATGCTATAAATGCCATAGACAGATTACTAAGAGAAATTATGAATCTGAATGTTGCATTTAGTGGGAAAGTTGTTCTTCTCAGAGAGGATTTTTGACAATGTCTCAGTATTGTACCGTATGCTATGTGATCAGCCATAGTACAAATAAGTTTAAAGTACTGCAATATTTGAGGATGTTTCAGTAAATTGTCTCTTAAATATGAGATCAGATGATTCTGCTTATAGTGAATGGTTAGTAAAACTTGGAGATGGAAACTTGATAATTTTCATTTAGAAGTGGATATTATTGAAATCACCTTGAAATGATTTGTAACAGATCTATTATTAAAGCTTTGGAAATAGTATATCTATTGATAATATTAAAAACTATATCTGAACATGTGATTCTTTGTCCAAAAAATGAGCACATTCAAAAATTAAATGAAGAAATTTTGGATATACTTGATGGAAATTTTCACACCTATTTGAGTGATGATTCCATTGAGTCAACAGATGATGCTGAAAAGAAAAATTTTCCCATTGAATTTCTTAATAGTATTACTCCTTTGGGAATGCCGTGTCATAAATTAAAATTGAAAGTGGATGCAATCATCATGTTACTGAGAAATCTTAATAGTAAATGGAGTCTTGGTAATGGTACTAAATTTATAATCAAAGGATTGTGACCTAACTATCAAAGCTGAAGTATTAACAGGATCTGCAGAAGGAGAGGTTGTTCTGACTCCCAAGAATTGATTTGTCCCCATCTGACACTGGCCTCCCATTTAAATTAATTCGAAGACAGCTTCCCGTGATGCCAGCATTTGTGATGAATATTCCTACTCTGTCCAGAGTTTGTCCTTAGGATTTATTAATAGTAAACCACAAGGACAAACTCTGGACAGAGTAGGAATATTCCTACCTGAACCCGTTTTCGCACATGGTCAGTTATATGTTGCTATCTCTCAAGTTCAAAGAATGTGTGACGTTAAAGTTGTAAATACTTCATCCCAAGGGAAATTAGTCAAGCATTCTGAAAGTGTTTCACTCTTATGTGGTATACAGAGAGATATTAGAATAAATTTATTAGTCATTGTATCAATGTTATTTTTACATGTTTTTGTTGTTTTTATGTCAAGTCTTTGTTGTTATATGCTATGATTGTTTATAAATAAATTTATATGTTATTTTTATATACTAATTTTCTTTCATCTCTGACACTTCTATTATAAAGGGCAAATAGCAATATTAAAATATTTCCTCTAATTAATTTCCTTTTAATGTGCACGAATTTCATGCAGTGGGCCACAGTTCTATATATATTGATCTGGATAGTGGTCAGATCACATTGCACATTTGGCACTTGATCATTATGTCATCTCTCTTAACTGAAGTATATACATTTTAATTCCTTTAAAGAAAAACTTAGAAGCCTTATGAAACTCAGTCAACACAGCTTATGTCCTTGTCAAAATCACAAAGCCTCTAAGAGACAAATATTTAATGGCATTCTCCAAGCTTTTCTTACCCTGATGTGCCTCACTTCTAACCGATATCTATCTCAACCATCTCTTCATGGTGTCTCTATGTGTGAGCAGAGATTAAAGGTAACTGCCAACAAAACAGAAGACAAGGATGTTTGAGATAATTATATTCAGGATAAGCTCTACGTCCTTCTTCCACCAAACCAAAGTATGTAAGCTCCCAAAAGGGAATCCTAATGTCAACACCAACCTTTTAATCATCACTTTGTATATCACTTTTATATTGCTCACCCTCATGAATGTGATCTGTATCTAAATATCTTCATAGAATTTGAATTGTAATTATACTTTGATAGTTTGAATAGGGTGAAATTGATTTAGATTCCAATTAACTCTTTTACTGATGGTTATTTAGCCCATGACAATCACAAATTTAAATTTAAACAATCTACTGAAAAGCTGCTTTAAAGATTCCTTCCCTTTCTCACTTTAAAATGAAAGTGCCAAGGAAAAAGTAAAAAATGAACTGTATTTATTACAACTGGCTGTTAATATTAAGTCCTACAAAATGAAAACTGGACCATGCGCAGTTTTCGGTTCCTTACGTTGTTGGCAAGAGAAATTCAGAACTTGTAATGAGGGACTGAACTAAGGTATAGGATAGACAACACGCAGTCAGCAAGCACATTACTTCGTATATTTTACATAAAAACATGAAAAAAGTCACGTCAAGGAAGGTGTTTGAAGAGAGTGAAGCTGTCTCCTTACGCCCCTCAATTTTTAAAAAATGTTAACTGAAATTGAGAGATCGTTATGGATACCTCAGATGGCATCACAAACCCTGCAAAAAAATATGAAAGAAACCCTAAGGCTTTATGTTTTGTTTTGTTTTGTTTGTTTGTTTTTTCATCACGTTCGCAGTTTTAGTTTCCCGAACACAGATCGGATCTGCAGAAGGAACGCACCGGCCTGTCTCAGTGGGAAAAGCCTCGGGCCTCGGAGAGGAGGGGCAGGGCTGCACCAGGACGCGTTCCAAGCTGAGGTGGAACACACTAGCGGCTTTTTAGAAACCGGGCAGGTGAGGGAGCGGGTCCGGCACCGCGGAGGTGGGTCCCCCGGGTGAGGAAGCGTTCCTGGAGCACCAGCCTTCCCCTGAGGAGCAGGCCGGCCGGGAGGAGGGTGGCAGAAGGAGAGAGCCGTCGGGGGCACCACTTTTGAAAGGCGCTTTCAGATTACAAAGCTCTCTCACAGGCTTTATGTCCTCCACACACAACCCTTTGGCTCACCTCCGGCGTCTACAGACGTAACAGGCCCCTCGCGAAGGCCCGCTCCAAACCCAGGCCCCGAAGGGCCACTGCGGCCCGGTTCGCGGCTCTGAGCCCGCGGCCGCGCGCGCCCCCTCGGCGTCCAATAGGCGCGCACGTCACTCGCCCGCTGCCAATGGGCGCCGGGCAGCTCACCTCCTGGGGGGGATGGGAGGGGCGGGCCGCGAGCGCCCGCCGCCCGCCTCTGCTCTTGGCGCAGGCGCCGCCGGGGCTCAGGGCTGGGGAGGAGTGGACGCTGCCGGTGAGGATGGTGCTGGAGAGCGTCGCCCGCATCGTGAAGGTGCAGCTCCCCGCGTACCTGAAGCGGCTCCCAGTCCCCGAGAGCATTAGCGGGTTTGCCCGGCTCACAGGTAACCCCCACCTTCAGGCCCGGCCCATCCCCGTGCGCGCCCCCAGGAGGAGGCGGGGTTGGGGGGGGGGGGCGTCTGAAAATCCGCGGGCCGAGGGGCGGGGCGGAGCTCGGCGAGTGGCGCGTGACCCCGTGACCGTGCGGCGCGTCGGCGCAGCCGCCGAGGGTCCCGTGCGCTGCTGCTGGGACCGGGCGGCCAGGCTCGGGGCTCGTCCTCCCCTCTGTCTCCGGTGCCCTGCCCGGGGAGATGGGTTTTCCAGGGAATTGGGAGCGGGCACCTGGCTCAGCGGCCATCGCCATCGCCTTTGTATCCCAGCCGCCGTGTGTGTGTGTGTGTGTGTGTGTGTGTGTGTGTGTGTGTGTAGGGCATAGACCGTCTGTATAATACAGCTTTATTTAGTAAAAAAGTTAGAGATGGTCTCGTTCCCGTAGGGGGAGATGACCTGTCATGGGAGCATTTGAGGTCGCCCCTGTTACTGGGGCCTGGAGTCGGTTGTGATAACAAGTTGGAGGAAAGGTACATTAGCCAAAAAGCGTTCTAAAGCTAGCACGGTGGTCCGGGTTTTAGAAAATGAAATTTAATTTCTACATGTAACAGTATCTTCTTACAAATAAAGAAGTAGCTCACAATGCAGATTTCAAATCTGAAGGATGAAATTTTCCAGAATGCAGGCAACACTTGGTAGATTTTGTTGAGTCTGAGCATTTCTTTGAGGGGTATTTGTAAGCCAGATTGAGAGAGTGATTAGGGTGTTGAAGGGGGGAAAGCCACATTGATTCGGCCAGCATTGGACTCCTGAGTATTGGGATGTTAAGCATGTTTAATAATTTTGAGGTAAATAGGCTTGTTTAGCTTGGAGCAGTCTAGAGGTCTGTGTTAACTGACTTAAAATGCAGCGTTTGGAAGCCTCACTGGAAGGTTTATTTTGTGTAGACCAAAAGACAACCAATGATTTAGTGAAAATTATTTGGAGATGATTTCAGCTCCTCTACAAGGAAGTTAAAACATTTTAATTAAGGAAAACTTTCCCCAAACAAGTGATTTGGGAGATTAAAATAATAGTAAAACATAAAAAGCAGAGCCTGGTGGGCAGATAGATTTAGAGATCTTTGAGTTATGGACAGAGTTGTTCTGTAGATAAATGGTTGTGAGATATTAATATTCTAGATGTTAAAGGATTTGGTAGAAAGCTTGTAATAGATTTAATGGAAACCCTGATAATCAGATAATAAATATTAAACTGAATATCAGAAGCCACATAAAAGTAACATAAAATGGTAAAACTATTTCAAATAAAGTGTTTATAAACATCAAAGTCCAAGCAGTTTACTAGTATCTTGATAGAATTGCAGCAATTATGTAAAATCATGTTTTTTCCCCTTTAATTATTTTTTTTACTTAAGCACTTATTTTTATGTATTCATCTTGTTCTAACAGCTATTTGATCTTTAGATTAACATCACAGTAGGCCTAACCATTCCCCTGCAGCTGGAAAATTTGAATGTTTATATAAATATAAATATATGTATCTTTTCATAATGATCAGTAGTAAGTAGCTCTCTACCAATACCAATTTTTTTTTAAATTATACCTTAGGTATAATAATGACAGGTCAAAAGGATGTTACATTTTGTGACAATTGTTCTCAGTTGCCAACTTACTTTTTTAATATTTGCGTAAGTTAACTGCTGAATTTTTAACAGTTAAGAAAAAAAAAAAAAAAGCCCTCTTACTCCTACCCCAATCCTGAATTATGTGTGTTAATTCTGATGATGGATGGTAATTGCGGTGTTTATTGTGTGTGTTTTTTTTAAGTATCTCTCTTGTCAACAAATATTTAATTGCTATTAAAGGCATTAAGAAAACTCAACCTAAGTCTCCCTTAAATTAATAATATATAGTAACTTCCTCTTTAAAGCTTTTAAATATTTAATTCAAGGATTGATACTCAGAAACAATGACAACCCTGGTAAATACCTTAATAGTACATACTTAAGTCCCATTACAGTGTGTCTAGTTGTTTTTGTATTGCTTATTTGTTTAGGAAACAAACATGTTTTTAATAGCTGCTTTATGAAAAAAAAAAAGTCTGTTTCACTCTGGACAATGACACTGTAACAGTTGCAGACTCTGTTTTGAAGGCATGAGGGCAAGCAGTTTCCACTCTGAGTCTGCCCTTAAGAATCGAATGTAATAGCTAGTGACATTTGGCTCTCTTGAATGAGCTACTTAGAGAATCATATTTAGACTTTGTTGAAATAAAAATCTGACAGATAACTTTTCAGCAATTGTGTAAATGTCTAGGAGTCCAAAAGTATTTTCATTTTCTATCTATGACAATTAAGGCAAAAAAAAAGGTTACAGTTCACATTGTTGCCTGTTTTCCTTCCCTATTTAGATACAGCGGTTAAAAAAAAAATGACTCTCATGATGACTCTGCATTCTTAGTAAACACTTGGAGATCCTTAATTACCCATTATCGTGTATTATTTACCGACAATCCTTACTTACCAGAGACGACTTATCTATTTTAGTTTAGGTCACATTTTTAAGACTGAGGCTTTTAAGATAAATTTATATGATTTTGCCCTTTGGAAGTATAGTGTATCCTAATACTTTGACCTTTAAAAAGCTTTCCCTGTCATATAAACTTTTTAAAATAGAACAACGAAAAACATCTTCCCATTCTAAAGTCAGAAAATTACTTACTCCTAGATCTAAAAGCTAGCTCTTAAATTTTAATATAGTTGTTCTTTCCCACTTAAATTAGTTTGCTTTAAAATGAAATGGTTTTACTCCTAAAGGCAATCTCCCCCCCCCTCCCCCCCTCCCCCCCTCCCCCCCTCAGTGAAACAGCTTTAAGGGCATTAGCTCTATCTAGAAAGGGCCAATTTTGAACAGAGAATTTAGAAGTAGAACAGGGTTAATAACATATTTCCACAAGAAGAGATAGAACATGTTCATAGTAGCCATGTTTATAATAGTCCCAAACTGGGGGCAATCCAAGTATCTACCAACAGGAGGATGGATAAACAAATTATGGTATATTCAGAGTGAAATACTGGTTAACAATGAAAAGGAATGAATTACTGATCCACTGATGAATCTCAAAAACTATAATGATGAAAAAAGCTTAGGTTATATAAATCAGTTGTGGAAGATAGACTAGAAAGGGTCAGGAGAATACTTCCTGGGGTGATAGAAATATTTTACACATTTTCAGCATAGGCTACAGGGTTGTATTGAATTGTCACAACCCAGAGCTAAACAACAGTCAGTTTATTATATGTAAATTGTACCTTAGTTTTTTCTTTAAAAAAAATGAGCCCAAAGTGAGTTTTCTCAATAGGAAGGTATAATAAAACATTAACTTCCAACAAAAGGTTGTGTTTATTAATAAGAAAATAATAAAAGTTATTTCTAAAATATTGAAGAATTTTATTTCAGAAAACTTTTTTTTTGAGAACTCAGGAAAATATTTACATAGTTATTGTAAGTTATAAATGTCCCCCCCATTAGACCAACTATAGTTAAAAGTCAGTTTAAAGATGATATTAGCCTTTGTAGAGAACAATTTTGATCTCATTGAAACATTTTCTTCCATATAACTATTTTGCAATTTAAAATTCCTCAAGTCATCAGGTATTTATTGAGTACTTACTATGGGCCAGGTAGTGTTCTTAAAACAATGACTCTGTTCTGTTCATAATAGTGAATGGAGAAAAAGATTTAAAACTTGATTATTTTATTTTATTTTATTTGCACTTAAATCTTGAATAGTCTGTATTAGGTTTGAAGATGTATGGTAAAGCCACCCACTGAAAATATTTTATGTTTATCTTTCTGAAGTTTAGAAATAGAAGTCATTTATGTGGCTTACTTGTAAATGATACATAAGAAAACAATATAAAATTATCAGCAATATTATTTTTATGGTATCATATGCATCCTTTTGAAAGGGCAAAAAACCCCACAAAAATCCGCTAGTTTCTTAGAATATAGTTCTTCATTAAGACCCATGTGTGTCTGTCTATATATACTTTTAAAAATGTTTTTGGCATTCAATTTGTTTATATGTCTTGATCAAGAATAGGGTGTGATAGCTAGTCCATCTACATAAAAGGTTGAATATATCCTCTCTTAATTTTATTTCTTCTGAGATGATTTCTTTTAACAGTATCTAAAAGTTTCAGAAAATTGGTGTTATAAAATTGCTTGCTACTCAAGTTGCTTTGAAATAGTCTCTCTAGATTTTGTTTTTCTAATAGTGCTGATTCTTTTACTCGACCTTTTTAATCTTATTGTTTATCTTAATAATGGGAAATAAAATATTATAAATGAATATTAGAACCATGCTCAGTATTAATAATAACAGTGTATCTGATTTATTTTCTTTTCTAAAAAATTAGAAACAGGTGATTTAAAAAACATTGGAAAAACCAATGGATGAAAAACTCGGGAGGGGGCAATGGAAAGATATGTACACATATAATACCTTAATAACAATAATAATAATAATAATAATAATAATAATAAATTGGAGCCTGGCTGGTGTGGCTTAATTGGTCAAGCACTGTCCCATGCACTGAGGTTGCCACTTGGATTCCAGGTCATGCTTAGGTTGTAGGCTCAGTCCCTGTGTGAGGTGTGCAGGAGGCAGCTCTAATGATCTCTCTCGATCTCGATCTCTCTCTCTCTCTCTCCCTCTCTCTCTCTCTCTCAGTACTTGAGGCATTTTCTTGCCCTCAGTGAAGTCAGCACTGCCCCTGCAGCTCTCTCCGTGGGTGTCGTTTCTATCTCTCCCCGTGTCTGTGGGATGAGGGACCAGGGCAGTCGGCATCCTTTAGGCGCTGCAGAGCTGTTTCCACAGTGGAATTACTTTACTCTCCCCTCAAAGAAAGCTGCGTCTTCTCCCCTCCATCATTATCCCCCTTTGCTGGTATCTGTTGAACTTTAGTCTCCTCACGTTTTTTAAGGATGTTGACATCCTATTTTTTTCC